CCTCCCTTCTTATGTAATATCATTTCACATAACCTCCTTTATCTCATCTAACCTAAGTTATTCCTTGTTTACTTTTTGTTTCTTGTGTTAGCTGTGGTTAGTGGTATTTAATTATGGATGTTGTCACATTGTGAGAATTGCATTCTTCACAAGAAGATGCTATAAAATGTTTTCGAGACGCCGGGATATTTGCAAAGGTCAAATATTGCGATGAAGGTTATCAAATGAAAATAATGTTCAAATGATCCAGAATCGGTTTTATTCAAAGTAATGAAGAATTACTATAATCATTTATTTGCAGACTTTTTTTTAAAATTTATTATTTAATATACAAATTTTTAATTGGAAGTGAAACAAATTGCAATATAAATATTTAAATATGATTTGCAATTAATAACATATTATTAACTTATTTTGTCATTTGTTTTGATTAAGAGCATTTAATCAATTTATAAAAAGACTTTATTTAATATCATGTAAAATTAGATAGTCTGTTCTAATAGTCTCACCTGCATTATTTGGGTCGTTAAAATTCTGATTTATCTGAATAATTATTAAAATTTTATGTACAATCACTTATACAGTTTTCGTTTTACGGATTATTTATTTTCATTTTGTATCATTCGTAAAATACCTGGTTAAATTTATTTAAGTTACTGCGATCATTATGTTATTTTTTTAGTATTGACAATGTTGAAAATACGGTCTATAAATCAATTCCCTAACTTTATATGATTTAAGTACTATAAGTAATGAAGGGTAACTCAGAGCCGAACGATACTGACAGTTCTAACCAAACAGACATGAGGAGGCTTTTCATTGTGGCCTGTGCACCCTTGTCAGAATAAATCGTCCACACTTCCCACACACATTACGACCAGACAGCTCCCATCAAATATATTGGCAAAGCGAGTAAAACTTCGAAATAATGTAAGTTAAAATTGCTGTTTGTTTGTAAAATTGTAAGTTTTAAGTTTTTTTTATTTTATTGATGATATTTACAACTGTATTACAAATAAAAATACATTCAGTAAATGTGAACAAAAGAATATAATTCCATGACACCACTTGTTGAGAAACTACCCACTGGTAGCACTTTAAAAATGTATTTACAAAAGGAGATCTCGAAGCCATCTTCTAGTTTTAAGTTCAAAGTGAACATTTGAATTCCCTATGATATTTTTATGGGTCATACATAAATAAAAGTAATAAACTTTTAAGTTTGATCAAATTATTGTTTAAATTGCGTTTAATCTGTCTAATGAAATGAAAGTAAAAAGTTTTCGAGATAAAGACTCGACAGAATTTTAATTTTGATGTTTCAATTTAATTATTGAAATCCTGTGAATGCTTTAAACCAATAAGAGCTAAAAATACTGAAAAACGTTTTGATCGTAATTAAATTAATCCTAATTTGTTGTTCGTCATTGTATGTGATCAATTTAGATTTTCAATGCTAGAAAAACGTTAAAATAAAATAATGATTTAATTTTAAAAAAATTGACATACGAATATTTAAAATTGGTATAATAGTCAAGATACATCCTTGCCAACATCCGAAGTCTTGAGTTCTGTTCAGGGTTACAAGGCACCCTATTACTACACCAAGTATAAATATTCATTTAATTCTGTTTCATTAATTTTTTTTTATTGATTGTATAGTATAAACAAACTCGTGTCTTAAACAATGCAAAAGTCACAACAAAAAATGGTGTAGGAATGTTGATTTTTAAAAATAATATATTGTTTATGTTGATATGTAGATATTAAAAATCGGTTAACGAAATTTTTTTAAGGAAAAAAATGAATGAAAATACGTCGTGCTCAACAACAATAGAACGAAAATTTTCGAAAGTGAACTAGTAGTGAGGTTTGGTTATCTGACGAAAAGTTAGCAGTTAGCATTTTGCAAAACGTAGCAGTATATTAGTAATTTTCTCTGTAACTATTGCTTCCTCAGTACCGAAGGTAGTGTTGCCTTATGGGTGATTGGTTGAGAAATTTGTGCTCAGAATCGAAAATTTGAATTCCCGTTTTTCGTTTCAGACCTTATGAGTCAAATTTGCTCTGCCTGTAGTCAAATCGGTGTGACAAGCATATCATCTACTCGCATTCATCCGATTTTCATCTAATATTCTGGGATCGTGAGGGTTGGTGCCTAGATGGCCTCATATCAATTTTATCAAATTCTATTCTGCACATCCATTCATATTTCCAACTATGGGTTTTGGTAAAATAATCAATTTGTACCAATTTTATTGAATTATGTTCTCTATTTTCTTTTATATATGCTCAAAAGTGTTTTCTTACGTCTTTATCTCTTAAACCGCAAGATCGATTTGTTTCATATTTGGAGGGAAGTTAGGGATTGTTTAACAGATAATTAAGTAAGCATCAATTAAATCAAATTCTATTCCCTATTCTCTCGCAAAAAAAAAAATCCGCTTTCGGTTCAGTACACGTATTATTTGACACGCCTGTAGTTTGAAAAGCTGTTCGATTTGACCGAAACATAGAAGAAATTTGGAGAATAGATTAGATTGTACCAATTTCAATTATTAATCAAAATTAATATAGGTAACTGTTGGCAATATAGTGCATGTAAAATGTGGAAGGCATTGCAATAGGGGGTTGGACTAATACAATATTTTTATGAGATTATAATATTTTATGTTTTATTCAAAAAGTTAATTTACACTGTATTGTTTGGTCGATTCCAAACGTTATTGCCTTGAAATTGACATGTAATTTTCATTAAATTTTACTCTTGTTTGTAAAAACAATTGTTATTTGTAATTGCGTTTATTTCTATTGAAGTTCAACAAGTTGGCCGTGGTAACTTTTTTTGTTCTTAATCATCAAAGTTATGTGAACTTCAATCATATTTTTATGTTATAGCTGAAGTTAGTTTTATTCTCAATGAAGAAAATATTGGTCTCCCTAACTCTAAAAACATACAAAATCAATTTCTTTCTTTCTTTTTTTTATCTATTTCACTAGTAAAATATACGTATTAAGTCTCCATCGCTAATATCAGTGCAAAAGGTCTTATGTAAACATTTTCAATTTTTATCCTATTTGTGCTAAAGGTAATATTTCGTAGTATGTAACTATTATATGTAGTCTGGTACTATGGAAAATAACAGAAAAAAATAAAATATGAAATTACAAATCGTAAAGAAATAATTAGTTTTTATGCTCACCTGTAAAACACTCAATTTTCACACGCGTCCTTTTGAACAGTAGCGATATGAATGTTCAGTATGTTCTGGGATTCCTTTTCTTAATTACGGTTAATGAAATACGCGATTTGCGAATGTGGAACTTTGAAACTTGCAAAATTTGTGGATTTCAGCCAAGTGATTGCTAATAGATCACCTTAACATTCGCAGGGTTGTGATTCCGAAAAAAGCTTTTCTCAGATATTTTATTCTCAAACGAAAAATTATAGACTTTGAAATGTACATATTATTTAGCCAATGAAAACGGTGAGGAAGTTATACTGACCTTACCTGGCAGATGTTTTTTTTTTTTTTTTCTCGTTTAATATGGCATTCGGTAAGCGCGGGTTAGAAAGAAATCAAGAGAAGGAGCTTAGCTTTGGCCTAGGGATAAAATGCTGGCCTGGCTTCTAGAAGCTTTTCCCCTCTCAGCTCAGATATAGTGCTGTGGTCGTCAGGTTTGGCTGACGTGTCTGATCTTGATAAAGTTTCGTTGCTTGATAAGGACCTGGCATGGTCTGCTATTTGATCTCAAATGACCTGCGGCTCTGATGAGAATGCTGTAAAAGCTCGTATATTTATTATTGCTATTTTAGGTGTACAAACAATACTTCTTTAAAATGAAACATGAGTGTATGTTATTAAAAAAAATATATTTAAAAGAAGAAAACACTTTTTTATTCCGTGTGATATAATTTAGTATTTATATCGGTATGGTTACATATATTTTTTTTTTTTATAGTTTAACGTTATATAGCGATCACCTGTGTAACTTTCTCTCTTTCTTTTTTTATCTCCCCTTTCTTTTCATTTAGGCTACACGAGGTTTATCCAGGACGGGGAAGAGGGCGGGAAAAATTGAACTCGTCATTATTTTTCCAATATTAAGTTCGGTTTTCAGACAGCCGGACAACGCGCGGTGCTAAGCACACGGGTTAGCCAGCTCGGCCATCCCGCTCCACATCATCTGTGAACCTAGGCCATTAATGCCTGAGACGGTCATATTTTTGTAATTTATTATACATTTGAATAATTAGCAATAAGTTTTTCTAATTTAAAACAACAAAAAAAATATCGATTGGCATATTGCAACCTATAAATCTATATCATGCACACCAAAGACAAAAAAACAATAATGTAAAAAATGTGTTAACATTTTATAAAGATTTTTTTCTCGGCTCCTACGGCTTATTAGCAAAACCTCCCGGACATGGATCTGAAATTTGTCGACCTAATGTTACCATTGCATTCGATGATCTCCCGCCCGTAAACTCGTCTTGTTAGATCTGATAAAGTTAAAGTAGTAGTTGCCCGTTTGTCATGCCTTCTTTCATAACATTCACCATACCTTATTGTAAAGTAGAAATATAACATATGTATAATATTGAAACATATGAATAAATATAATATTATTCATGAACAAGATGATGTTGCTAGGTTTAAGCTATAACAAGTTTTATTTGCCACTCTTTAAATATATTTTAGGTCATTGTTTAAATACATCATTTCTTTTGTCTGAAAAGAGTTTCATTTGGTTTCGTTTAGCATTATAATGTTGGAAATCTGTTAAAACTAGACACATAACAGTTTTAAAGGATTATGTTTAGAAATCTATTGAAAATAAATATTTTTTTATATTTACATATATTTTATATTTCCTAAAATAATTAAAGTATTGTTAGTTCCAATATTTAACGACAAATAAGTTGCTTAGTAATAAACATATAAACAAATTATAATTTGTTTTAATACAAAAAATCACATTTTGTCCTCCCTCGACTAATTTAAGAATTAAATGACAATGGACATTCTTCCTTACAGGACTTCATTATAATTTATATGACTACAAGATGATATTAAGTGCTTAATATTTCACTATTTAATGGTACAGAATTTTTGACTAAAAATGTTAATTATGATGGAAAATAAGTAGGTGTATATATATTCTAATAATAACAGTACTTGCTATTATGCAATAAGCCACAAATAAATTTCCAATTACAGAAAGGACAGATTCCTTCAATCGGATAGAAATCTCGTTAGATGTGGCTCCGCCTTGATTTTCCGGTCGAAGGGTCTTGGGTTTTTGCTAAAGGTTCTGTTCTACCTTTGGGGCCCACCTGAGACCACTAAGACTCGTTTTTCTGCTTCCTCATCTGTTACCTCGCTGCAGGATCTGTCTGGGAAACAAAACGGTTGTAACAGAATGATGCATCGGTCGGGAAAAACTGTCATATATGAGATTATATTAAAATAATTACAATAATATAATAGTTAAATTTAATTAATCAAAATTATTTGACAACAAATAGTTTTAAATGTTTCTTTTAATTTTCGTTTTTAGTATCATACGAAAATATGAAAGGAATTTTTTTCGTTATTCTTAGTTGGCAGAATTACTAACTTCAATTCCAACATTATTGATTATTAATTTCATTGATATTTCGAGAGGAAAATATTACATCTTTATTCACAGTTTTATATTTCAACACTGCAACCATCTCCTCTGCAATAAACTTACTTACTATCTGTACAGATATTATGAATTGTCCAATTAGAATCATCACTGAAATGAATTTGCTTAAAAATGTTGAAATTCGAGTTAGTCATTCTGCCAATAGAAAGGCTCAGTTAGTGAATAGATTCACATGAAACTTTTAATTTATGAGTATTATTCTCTCAATTTCTATTATATTATATATAATCCAAAACAAGCATCCGTCGCGATTGTATTAGTACATACACAATTCAAGAATGATGGTGTTTGACGGAGATATGAGAAAAATCATATCATGAGACAGAAAGTTCTAGGCGACCATCATTGACTATCCATTTTGGATATAAGCGACAATGGAATTTTAGGAGAATTTTCATTGTTTGTTTTGCATTCGATGAAGAACTAATCTCCAAATTTACTTGTGAATTTCCTAGATATCAAATCATAACTTTACTGGACTATCAGTAGTATCCAAACATTTTTTAGTGACTCATTGCTGCAATGGTTGCGTACCTTCTGTATAGATGAAATAAAATAAACAAGAACGGCAGTTTTGAAATCAATTAGTTTCTATTCACTGAGGTTTCTATTAATAGTTTCTATTAAACATATATATTCAGATAAGTTAAGTAAGATAGCAATCAATAACATTGATTACGATTAAATATATGTCTAAAATTACTCATTAGATATTTAAAAATAAAATTCGTTCTTTGAAAAACTTTACATTTTTGCTCTCCTTATTATCTTCGTATTGTCAACTCGGAAACATACATGGTTTAAACCGTAGATAAGAGTTATTAAAAGCTGAATGTGGTAGAAGTCTGTAATTCGCTGTGCATGCCGAGTGAATTGCTCCACTTATCAGCTTAGCCTTCCAGCAACTTGTGCGGTCTAACTTAATAATTCTACATCTCGCCGAGTCCAGGAAAGGATGGAATTAACAAACTTTAGGTGGATAACTCCGCCTCATCAGCTTAACCGACTTTATTCCTGCGGGAGGTGTTCTTGGAACGTGTAGCATCTTCCTTCCAGTTCTGGAGTATTATGGAAAAGGGTAGTTACAGTAATGGCTGTCCTTCTGAGTTCTCCAAGGACAAATGGATATTGCGAAGATTCCTTGATAGTACTTCCTGGATATAAGTGTTATTTTCCAAAGTATGAACCCTCCTACAATAAAATGCAAGTACCATTCTAGATACGTTTAAATATTAATGGATTATTAGAGCATTTTAAATAACTAACCTAATGAAAATTTTATGTACATATATAAATTTATAAATAAATTTATTATTGTTATATTTCGTAAAAAGTTTAAAATAATTTTTATATAAAAAATATAGCTTATTACAAGATATGTTGACTTACATAATGCGATTAATTTGTAGAAGTAAAGCTTTTATGGTATAATGTAATATATTTTAAGGAATGGTACTTAAAATATATTACAAAAGAGACAATTGAATAATGGATAGTTTAATAAAATCAATAAATAAATGATAATAATAAATTATACAGTATCCGATGATTGAACACTACCAAAATAGACTGGAAAAGAGAAAATATAATAAATAAATTAATTAATAAAAAAAGTATACGTACGATTAGGCAAAAACAAATATAAAAATTATGAGGAGAAGAAAGAAATTTTATAAATCTACAATTGAGTATCTACAAAATCATAAAAATTCAGATTGATTTAATGAATACACACACACACACACACACACACACACACATATCAATCATCAATGATAAAAACCGGTTATGAAAAAAATTACTATTCATAAAAGAGCTGAGAATATTATACAGGCATTCATTTAGTAAAAGACGGATCGATCGGTATGGTGATGGTACACCATACATCTGGCCCCTGCTCAGTGAAAAGTAGATGGCCACGTGCCACAAAATCTAAAAATGCATACCATATAATTTTTCTCTTCTGTTTTAGAATATCCCCGGGTAATAAAAGGTAAATAGATCCCGGGTATTCACCTATATGTATATATATATATATATATATATATATATATATATATATATATATATATTTACATTATTGTATTACAGAATAATTGTGTACTGTATTGTGTATAAATACAGTTTTCTGAGAGGGTAAAAAAAAAGATGTTAAATCCTCGGATCTCAATTCATTCAGGAGATAGACCTCTACGCAGTTGATCAGTATATGATACATAATTATATACTTTGGGCTTCAACAAACTGCTTCTTATTTTCACTATATCCATTAATCTTTTATTCTCTCCTCTTACTCCATACAAGTCTGGACTCTCATCCACCCGCTTGTATTCCTATATACGAAGTCCGGAGATTGGTCCCTGCGTTAGTATTTCATCCTCCCACAAAGTCTGGAGATTTATGGTTACCATCCTTGCGGAGCGTTAAGGCAGATCCCTTACTCCGAAAACCAAGAGTGATTTGGGTGCTGATCCGCCTGATCCTACATCCACTAAGTCATCTTTCTTACCTCTATATTGAATATGCTCTGTCGAGGCGTTCTGGTAACTTGTATACCCTGCACTATGCCTCAGCAAATTTATAAGTTTGCATCACTTTCCGTTTCCTTTCGTGGCTGTTTATAGCACCAAACAATACTATAATTCTGGGTTTTATCGGAAACATTTACAATAAAACTCGTCAAAAAAAATAACTTTAGTAAATATTGTATATTAAAATTTATTGTAATATTTTATATTAATAGATTCACAACATTTTGTATGAAAACCCGTTAAAAAAAGTATGGCTAATTGATATAGAAACATTAAACAGACAATATATAGCGCTGTACAGAGGGGTATCGGGTATCTGTTTGGGGGGAGGATCGGCAAATGTCTTGCGCTCTCTGCTGTTTTCGTATAAGTTCCAAACCTTATTTCTCCATTAGGTATCAATGAATTTCTTCATTCATTATATTTCACCATTTTTTTTTATATTAGTTCCAACTGTGAAATGGTTAATTATTACAAATAAAAAATCTTTGAATACTGAAACTTTGGTACTTTAGTGAAACTTTTTTTGAAAAATTGGCATAAAAACCCTGTTAGAGAACATCAATGAGGATAAGACATATATTATATTTAAAACAACTTAATTTTACACTCATATATTGAATTTATTCAAAATCGTTGAAACCATTTTTGAGAAAATCATAAAAAATGTGTAAAACCTATTATATAAAGTAGCACGCCTGATTAACCGATTTTGACGACAATGTTTATGGAAGTCCATAAGTATGTATAAACCTTATATACGAAATTTCAGTCTCTTAAGACTTTTAGTTTTCGAGCTAAACTGTTCACATACATACACATTCACAAAACACACACAGAACATTTTGCAAGACTCGGTTATGGAACTCAGAATACGTCAAAAAATATAACTCCGTTAAAAACAAAAATTTAAAAATTTTTACGATCGTAATAGTTTCCCTACTATAAATTACAAATATAGGTAAGCCAGTCTAGTGTAAGCATAAGAAGAGATAAAACGTCTCTCTAGTTTCTCTAGTCAACTTACAGATAAGATTAAATTAATTCGTATTACTTTATTACTATAATAACGTTTCATTTATACTTTTTATTAACTATAAAGATATATTTATTTTTTTATAAATTACAAGAATATATCTTTTTTTTTTTCGTTTAATGCGTAAGTATTTTTTTTTTAATTCCTTTTATTACGTTTTGTTTTATCCTTCTAGGAGTCATCTCATACATCTAAATAGTTCTAAGGCTAAACGAAAACGACATTTAAAGAATAGCTTCCTTCCCACTCCCTACCCCCTCTTTTCCTACTCCCACCACCGGCCACCTCCCTGTCTACCCAAAAGTCCCACGCAAATTCTGGACATATGCCCCACTTCTTTTCTCTCAAGATGCGGAGTCATCTAAAACAACTGAAGCCGCTTCTGCGATCGTAGGTCCTCATCGAAATTTAGTAATCGACCCGGAATGAGGGTTCACCATAGTAAATAAAAAAAAAAAGCTATTGTAAAGTTAAAATAAACCTAATAATTTTTTTAACACTTTTGCGTAATTATAAATATAAAAAATATTTCAAAGCAGACTTTTATAACATCAAAACGTTCTTTAGCACATATATTAATAATTGACATCATAAATCTCTATTACAGCAATAATAATAACAGCACAATTCACTGCTCTCGAAGCATTAACTTATTATTGTCACAATTAAAAATAAACATTTATAAAAAGTTCATTGCCGCAATCATGAATAAATATCCTACCTTATTTTTATTTTATTACTAAGAAAATACATCTTATTATGCTATAAAAAGGATACGAACTTTATTTACTGTCATTTTTATTACATTTTTAAATTAATTTATATTCATTCACTTATCTCCGAACCATACATTGATTTCTATTATTCGAATATGTATAGGTACATGTATGCATGTTAGTATGACCATACTTATCTGTATACCCATACAAACAACTATGTGTATATGTGTAGGCCTATATATTTGTAATGTGGGCGTGTATATTTTTGTATTTTTACGTATATAAGTATGTATGTCCGTAAATGTGTTTGTATGTATACTTTTCTTTGAATGTATCTATGTGTGTATATGTACACGTATGAGTATATGTATACGTGATTGCATATCTAAATATTTAATGATTTTTTCTAATGTTAGTTGCATGCAAATAATAGATAAACCATTTAAAACTTACATTTCCACTCTATTAAATTATTCTTGTCTCTCGTTTTGGCTCCTGACGACCTCCCTTCTGTTTGAACGGTGCTTTTGCGATGTTTCTTAATGCCGTATTGTTCCTTCTTCATGTGTCGAAGTAGAAGATTATGACCTTCTACTTCGAATCTGTGTTGGATTATATCCCTGGGTTGTAAGCGGTATGCGTATTCCCTTATATTCCCTTCGTTAAACGTTCTACCGTCGGCTATTTCTTTCCTGTAAATTAAAAGGATATAATAAACTTTCTGATGCATATTTTACGCCTAAACCTACTGCACCAATAGAGGAATGCGAATTATGATTTATAACTGCACCAATACCAAATTTAGTAATAGCTATTTTTTCAGCTTCCTAAATATCCTTTAATGAACTTGCTTACTCATATAATAGGTCATTCTCCCGTCTATACCGTCATCGGAATTAACAGGTTCTTTAATATAATCACTATCCCCAGGACCAAAATAATTATGTGTTTTGCTCATAGTTAATTACCAAGAACTCCTAGTCGAAATGTATCGTAGTCTATGGTAGCGTAAGGATCCCTTTCGTCTTAAGATGATGAATGTGACATTTGTGTATCAAACATAAAGTAATAAGTATCTAGTCATATGAATATTATATACCTTTGTATCTACAAGCACAAGCATAAGCGATAACTCAGACTCCAATAGAGACCGTGAACGGTATCGCTTATTTGTGTGCACTTAGATACGAAAGTATATAATATTCATATTAATAAATACTTTTTCCTGAGTTTTGATTCATAGATATGAGCGCCCCAGTTTCTCCTATTCCAGAAGACACTCTAGTAGTAAACTTCGATAAACCTATTCCAAAACGGCGACGGGTATCACAGAAACTCATATCTCTAATGCATCTGATCATCTCTACCACACTTCTTGATAACGCCAGATAACGAAGACGATATGCTGGACGAGCAGACCGATCCCACAGCTATCCGAGCAGATCCTATCTGTATTTTCGAGTTTTTCCAGGGCTTTACACCTTCCTTTGGAATAAGTGGACTCTGGGACAGATGATTCATTATACACGAGGTATGGAAACCAGGCCGATGTACAGACTTTAGAGGATTTGCTCAGGACATCGTTAAGCGAATTCTTGATTTTCGTTGACCTTACTGATTCAGGTATCTCTTCTTCAGCGACAACAAAATCAGTCCCACTACGACTTTGTCCACGACTGTTACGGATAAATCCCAGATATTGCCAAAACATACGGACGGAGACGTAAAAACAACACCCTCGTTACCGCAGATGACTCTGACGAGGATCCCTTAGTTCCCTCTCACACTAACTCTACAATATTATTCATCAGCGTGACAAAAATATAGTCCTTTCCAATAGTTTCCATCTCAACGCTATACTTAAACTTTTAAGTAGCTATACAACCAAAAATAGTACAACCCTCCCTTCGCTCAACTCCCTACAATCACCTACCACTCCTTACATATTCTCATATTATTCTTTCAGATAATATACAAAAATTAGTAAAATCCACTATAACCAACTTATGTCTAGGTCTTAAGTCCCATAACAAACTTTCTTTTCCTTTCACCATCTTGAAGGATCCCATACTTTTACAACACCAATCTAATGCAGTTTACCGGATATATTGCTCTACTCCTCTAGTTCCTATATTGGCGAAACAAAAAAAAAAATCTCAAAACACGCATTTCCCAACACAAAACATTCATAAGTTCCCGCAAACATTTCGCCTCCAAACTATCAGAACATGCCTTAACCCTCAACCCCTCATTTGATTTTTATAAAACCTCTATTCTTGCCAGGGTCCCTAACCATGAAAAAAGAGTCATTTCTTAATCCATCAATATGCACAGGGGACAGAATACATAAAAACTGCATTTCTCTAACATATAGGCACATTTTAAATCGTATAAATGTAAAATAACAAATTTATTTTCTGTATTTACATCTTATTATTTTTTAATCTATTTTCAATTTTTATTGGTTAATTTAATTTAATCGTTCATTATTTTTAAATATTTCCTCTTTGTATGATCTCTCTTTTATTTTTAATTTTATATTTACATTCTACAGCAATGTACGACCATCCGTTTTTAATTTATAATCGAGAAGGCAGTGGATCAGCTGATGCGAAGGACGTGTTCTGAAATCTTCTCTCAGTTTTTGCCTATTTTTCAGCGGAATCTCTTTGATTATTTACTCAATACAGTTGAAGTGTACACTAGAGCAGTTGTTATTTACTGTTTGCTACATTTTTTTTTTAATTTTTAATTTTTTTTTTTTTTTTTTTTTTTTTTTTTTTAATTTTAATTTTTTTTTTCTCTTATGATATGCGGCATAGTCAGCAAGTGATGTCCAGTAAGGTGCCCACCAAAAGGACTCGGTCAGACGGTGTTAGTACCCCTCGTGATTCACCAGCGAAACAAAGAACTCGTCGCTGCCTGCGAGAAATTGCTCCAACCACAGTGAAAACTTCAGGTACAGAACCTCAGCCTCAACCAGGTACCTCTTCACAAGAAATGGTTGAAGAATCTCCTTTCTTCACTCCAAACCCGTTCCAAGTGCTTCATAATGACAGAGAAGTAATGGAGTCAGCAGCAATACCTAGGGAACCAAGACCTCCTCCGATATTTGTAAAAAATATCAAAAATTTTCAACTACTGTGTACACAACTAAACGAAATCTGCTCTGGCAGTTATTCTTGCCTCAATAGGACCAACGATACGAAAATAACACCAGATACTGCAGAAACCTACCGAAAAATTGTGAAGTACCTGTCCGAAACGAATGCAAATTTCCACACATACCAGCTGAAACAGGAGAGATCGCTACGAGTGGTGGTAAGAAATTTACACTCCTCAACCCCAACTGAAGTTATAAAAGAAGAACTAGCGACGCTTGGTTTCAATGTGCGTCAGGTAACCAACGTTCTGAAGGAGAATAAGGAGCAGCCAGGAGTAAGCAATAAGGTTCCACTACCTTTATTTTTCGTGGATCTAGAGCCATCACCTGGTATTGAAAAAATATATGACATCAAGAGATTGTACTACACTATCGTGAAGATAGAGAAGCCATACCCCAAGAAGGAAATTGTACAGTGCCACAATTGCCAGGCGTATGGCCACACGAAAACTTATTGTCACCATCTGCCGCGTTGCGTGAAATGCGGTGAACAGCACAAATCTGTGGAGTGCACCAAACCAATACAAGATCCTGCAGTGTGTGCACTATGCCAGGAGGGACACCCGGCCAACTACAAAAGCTGCCAAACCTATAAGAACCTCAAATCCAGATTCCAGAAGAACCGGATTCAAGATGAGACAACCAGACCAAGAAGAGAACCTTCTAGAATAGTTAATAATAATTTATCATACTCCGAACTACTTGGAGGTAAGAACCCCAATAATACATGTGAAGCCCTGTCGCAGCAACTACCTCAGCCCCAACCTCAATATTCTGTTCATCCTAACACACATAATCATCAACAACCTCAAATTCCTCCTCCTTCAAATGCAACAGATCTCACCAGTTTGTTAGCATCTTTCCTCACCGATTTCAAATCCCTAGTTACTCCACTCATATCACTCCTTACAAATCTCGTATCTCACCTAATCCCTCCTTTGAAAAATCCTTAATGACTCACATCCCAAAACCCATATCCATTCTCCTTTGGAATGCGAATGGTGTTAGAAATCACGTTGACGAACTAACAGCTTTACTACAAGACAAGAACATTGACGTAGCCCTTATTACAGAAACTCGACTGACCATAAAACAGCATTTGAAAATCCCACAGTATTTAACATACCGTACTGACCATCCTGATGGCAGAGCACATACCGGTACTGCTGTCATCGTACACCAATCACTCTCCCATCACTTACTCCCATTACCCACTCAAGATTTCCTACAGTCAACCGCTATTGTAATCAAAACCTTCTCCTTTCCAGTCACCCTTGCATCAGCATATTGCCCTCCTAACAGATCCATATCCAAAGTCCAGTTCAGTTCTCTCCTCAACTCCTTAGGTCATAATTTCATCCTGGGTTGAGATTTAAACGCCAAACACCATCAATGGGGTTCTAGAACCACGAACTCTCGTGGCAGAACATTGTTATCTGCACTCAATTCCCAACGGTTAAGTATCCTTCCTCCTAAGTCACCTACCTACTGGCCCACAGATCCTAACCGCAATCCCGATATCCTTGATTTTTTCATCCACAGTGGCTTAGGTCCCCTCAATCATTCCCTTACCCGTCTTGCCGAACTATCCTCAGATCATAGTCCATTATTACTCCAATTATCTCTTGCTCCTATTCCTAAGTCTTCTCCACCGTCGTTCATCAGAGGCCCAGTTAACTGGAAACTCTATCACCAAATCCTATCCGATAAAATTGACCTCAGAATAACCCTAAAAACCCCAGATGACCTTGACAATGCCGTACACCTTTTCACCACCACTATCCAACAAGCAATCTGGACTGCTTCCTCTCCAAACCACTCCTCAAGAACTCCCAAGAAAAATAAGTTACCTCAACACCTCATAGACCTAATCCATACCAAACGCCGCGCCAGATTATTATGGCAACGTACTAGACACCCCATCGATCGTCGTTCCTATAATTTTTACAGTAAACAATTAAAGCAGGAATTGGCCATCTTCAAATCCCAATCCTTCAACTCCTACCTTACTTCCCTCTCTGTTCATGACAATTCCCTATGGAAGATCACCAACAAAATCCTAAAATCCCATCATATTTCCCATCCCCTTCGTCGAAGCGATGGCTCCTGGGCAGCGTCTGATGAAGATAAAGCTGAGGAATTCGCCAGACACCTCTCCAGAACATTTACCTCTCATCCGGAATCCAACCTCACCCATACCAGAACAGTAGAAGAATTCCTTACATCTCCCATTCCACTTTCCTTGCCACCTAAAGCAGTTAATCCTTCTGAGGTCAAACATCACTTACAAAAACTTCCTCTCCGTAAATCTCCTGGATACGACCTCCTTACCTCTCAAATCCTTCGACAACTTCCTCCTAAAGCTGTTATATTTCTCACCTACTTATATAATGCCATCCTGAGAACCACCCACTTTCCTCTTTTGTGGAAACATTCCACTATTATCCTGTTTCCGAAACCAGGCAAACCTCCCAACACCTCAACGTCCTACAGACCAATTAGCCTACTTCCGATTCTCTCAAAAATCTTTGAAAAGATCCTCCTGAAACGAATCCTACCCTTTATAGAATCCCAAAATTTTCCTTCACATCAGTTCGGATTCCGTTCACAACACTCCACAGTCCAACAAGGACTCCGAGTGGTCGATCATATTTCCGCAGCATTGGAAAGCAAGCAATATTGCTCGAGTGCATTTCTGGACATAGCTCAAGCTTTTGACCGGGTATGGCACGCCGGGCTTCTTTCCAAGCTGAAAACCTATCTTCCTCAGTCCTTGTACCTTGTCATCCGTTCCTACCTATCAGATCGTACCTTCCGAGTTCGCTGCGGTAGTGAATTATCGAATTGCTATCCAATTGAGGCAGGTGTTCCTCAAGGTAGCGTATTGGGTCCCGTCCTTTACATCCTCTTTACCGCTGATATCCCTGTCCATCCCGATACCTTCCTGGCAACTTTTGCTGATGACACCGCCATTCTATCATCCGACTCAGATCCTGATATAGCATCCTTAAACCTTCAAAGACATCTCTCCCTGATTGAACACTGGTGTAATAAATGGCGAATTAAAGTAAACGAATCCAAATGCCAACACATCACCTTCACGCTCCGACGCAGTTCCTGTCCACCAGTACACTTTAATTCCATTCAGCTTCCTTTCTCGGACACAGTCCGGTACCTTGGCTTTCTCTTAGACAGACGACTAACGTGGAACCCTCATACTAGACTTAAAAGACAGGAACTAAACCGACGATACGGACAACTATACCGACTACTAAACAGAAAATCAAAACTTTCCATTGAAAACAAGTTACTGATCTACAAGACAATACTGAAACCTATCTGGACTTACGGACTTGAACTGTGGGGAACAGCAAAATTTACTAACATTAAACGCATCCAATCCTTCCAATCAAAAGTCCTTCGAACAATAGTCAATGCTCCTTTCTATGTAACCAACAAAACCCTACACCATGACCTTAATATCCCATTTGTCCTAGACCTTATCCCAGCAAAATTCTCCAAATTCCACCAGAACCTTACCCATCATCCAAATCCCTTTGCAAAATCTCTATCCAGCACCACCCATCCATATAATCCCCAAGGAGGTTAAAACGGCAGTGGCCCCGCGATCTTTTATAGTTTGTAAATATTGGAGTTCTGGCAATGGCCAGATTCTCCACTCACGACATGAGTGTATGTGGCTAAAGCACTCTTGCTCAATCTCCACTGGGTTTAGCCCTAGTGACGCGGTTGAGAGAGGAGTGCAGGGAACTCCTGGAGTCATACTTTTCCCTCCACAGTTGGAGGGACAAGTCTGGCTTGGAGTTCTCTCGCCAAGTTGTAAATATTGTATGTAGGTGTGCATGTGTTCTTTTTATTTATTTGTTTTTC